CCTCCGCAAGCCTGGGCCTGGCCCACGCTTTTGTGCCTTGACCCCCCAGGGACGCTGCCCACGGCCCTGCTGCCCACCACACCAGCACTCCCGGCCGTGGGGAGCCACGCGGGGGGAGCCCTGGCCCGGGCTGCCTCCCGGACACGCCCTCCGGCTCTGCCCAGCCTCGCTCGGGCTCGATGCTGCATGTGCGAACTGGGGCTGCGATGGACGCCTCGCAGAGACGTGAGCCTGCGGCCCCGTCCCCCCACGGCTGGGCCTCCGGGGGCGCTGGGCCGGGAGAGGCGGGCGGGGTCTCACCTCTGGCACTCGCTGGCGCGCAGGGTGAGCCCCTCGTTGCTCCGGGCGGTCACTGCCAGCTCGTGGTCCGTGGAGTTGAAGACGTCCAGCAGCAGGTGGCACTGCCGGGTGCTGTGGGGAGACAAGACGGTCAGCGCGCCCCGCCCAGGAGGCCGGCGACGTGGCCTTTTCTCCTCTCCCCGCCGCCGGGAGGACCGACCGGGCCCTCGGGCAGAAGGGAGCCGTGTATGCGGCATCGTCGTCTCAGAGATGGGAGGCTTGAGGCCACAAAACTGTGGAGAAACAGGCGGAAGCTTCTGAGACTCGGACTTCTCGGACGGCGCCCAGCGGCGCGGCGCCGAGGCACGACGGGCATGGGTCTGTGCTGAGCAGACCGGCCAGGAGGCGCGCCCTGCCCGGCTCAGCCGCCGTCCAGGAACCAGACAACGGAAGGGCGGACAGCAGCCGCCTGGCCAAAATGGCAAACACGGACTAAGGCCTCGAAGAAGGCAAGCGGGCTGCGGGCACCGAGAGGGCTCTTCCGGTCACTGCCCATCAGGAGAGCCAGTCAGGCCCGCACTACCCCTCCGGCCGGCAGCTGTCAGGTGGGCCGGCATTGCCGGAGTCAAGAAGTGGAGAGAGACCGGAAGATGCTGGGGCCCACCCAGCCCCCACCCACCTGCACCCAGCCCCCACCCACCTGCACCCACCAGCACTCAGTCCCACCCACCCCCACCGAACCCAGCCCTACCGAGCCCTGGAACTAGCTCAAGGGGCCCTCATGGAGGAGCTGGCGAAGCTGGAGATCCACAAGAAGTGGGGGTGCGCGTTCGCTGCAGTCGGGGAGCACAGAGCACGCCCCCTTGACCCCAGCAGGGGGCTGTCTCGTGAGCGCGGGAGCCCGTGCAGGGCAGACTGAAGCGCGCGCTGCGGCGTCATCTGCGTTATCTGCACGCCCAAGCCCTGCTCTCACCTGGGTGCGCACCCCCGGCGCCCCTCGGTCACGGCCACATGGGACCGACCCTGAAACGCGCAGCGCAGAGGCCGAGCCGTGGGGCAGGGCCACGCGGGCCACGGTGCCCCGGCCCTGCTGCCTCAGGCTCACAGCGCCTGGCACGAGGCTGTCCGAGCACCCACGGGGCGTGGCCTCTCCAGGACGGGGGGGGGGGCAATGTCACAGAGCAGCTGTCACACCCCAATCCTTTAAACGAGAAGGGTCAGGGCAAGCAGGCGGCAGCGAAATGCCAGTCGCATGCCCCGGCGTGGGCAGGCTGCCACTGGTCCTGTTGCTTGTACCCGGCCGGCCCTGTACAAAGTGCTTTTAAGTCGCTTAAAATGCCCACTTGGCCTAGGCACCCCCAAAGCAGAGCCTGAGGGAGGAGCAGGTGCAGAGCTGGAAGGGGCAGGAGGGGGTGGGCAGCGGGGGGGGGAGGGTGCTGTGCCCGGGCCCTGCGGGTGGCAGGCTCCACCCCTCCGACCCCCCGGGAGGCCTGGGACTGTCCCCCAGAACCGGCACCGGAGGCCGAGGGGAGGGGCAGGTCCGCCTGCTGCTGGCCCGGGTCAAGCCCCCTCGCACGCTCCACGCCCGCCGGCGAGGGCCGTCCCCAGGCCGCGCCCCGGACGGGCACAGATTCCTCCAGGCGTGAGGAAGCTCCGCCAGCTGGGCGAGGAGCCGCCGGTCCCCCGCAGCAGCCCGCTGCCACAGCGATGGCCGCAGGGTGAGGCGGCCGGGGTCGGAGGCGGCACGGACGCATTTCAGACGAAAGGCATCCCCGAGAGCAGGCGCGGGACCCGGCGGCCTCGGCGGGCTGGCAGGGCCGAGGAGGGGGCACAGACGGGCCGCGGCGGGCAGGACGCGGACGCGGTCAGGGCCGGACCCCAGGCGACGGGACCACCGAGGAGCAGCCGAGTCGCCCGGAGGAAGGCGCGTGAAAGGCTCAGCTCTATTCTAGGCGTGACGGGAGTTATTTTTAGCGTTTAAAGCAGATGAATGGCACGGACTGCTTTGGTGTTTTGTCTTTTTTTAAGCTGAATTCCAATTCTGGAAAAGACAGAGCAGCACAAAGAACCCGCTGCCTCTCGCTGGGCGCAACTGGAAGTCACCCCGAAACGCAGGGGCAGCTGTTCCCAGGCGCGGCGGGCCGGAGGCTGAGGGCGGGAGCCGGGGTTCTGCCAGGTGGGCTGAGTCCTCGCCCCCCTCGGCCGGGCTGCACGGAGCGGCGGGCCGGGAGCTGCAGCACCCCAACCCCAGGCACGGGGGCGAGCCCGGGGCGGCCAGGGCCCAAGGCCGGTGCCCCCGCTCCGCCCTCTGGCTGACAGTCCTGGGTCGCCCCTCAGTCCCGCAGGAGGAGCAGGTGGGGCACTGGGAGAGGGGGCGAAGTGGTGCCGACCGGGTTCCCCGCAGCCCGGCACAGGGGGACCGGGGCACGCCCCACAGTCCCGGGCATGCGGGGCGCAAGGCGCCGCATAGCAGGCTCAGGACGGGGAGGGGCCAGGAAAGCGCCAGCAGGCGGGGCGCCCCAAGAGGCAGCCCACGGCATGCAGAGGGGGTGAGGGCGCCCGCGGGGGAGGAGAGCCAGAGGCTACAGGGCAGGGCAACCTAAAGGCAGCCCGCCGCTGGGCCCCCCCACCCGCGGGCCCCTCACCCCCGTGAGCAGCGGGCACAGGGCAACATATGGGGCCGCCGCAGAGTGCAACCCCCTCCAGGGCGGGACCCCAGGGCGCGGCAGACCCCTCCTGCCCCCCGCTGCCCCCTCAGCAGTGTGCTGCGTCCACCTGCCTGCGCTGCTCCCCACTCTGTCGCTGTGAGTCCTCTCACCCCCCTGCACCTCTGGCCTGCACCCCAGTTCTATGGGCATAAATAGATCCACGTTTGCAGGAAGTTAACCGGCCGAGCGCCGCCCCGCCGTGGGCCCAGGCCACCAGCCAGGAGCAGGGCTCCCTCTGCTCCTCGGGCGCAGGCTGCACCGCCGAGGGCACAAACCCAGGCGGGAGCAGCACCCCAGCGGCGTACACGGAGCAGGCGTCGCTCAAGGCTATTTCGGGAGCACAGAGACACCGAGCTAGTAAGTTCGAAGAAAGGTCCAGAAGTCGTCCGGCGAACAAGGGCGAGAAAGACCCAGCAGCGCGTGGCGCCAACAGCCACGGCGCCAACAGCCACGGCAGGTCGCTCTGAAGAGATGACGGCCAAGCAGCCCCACAGCAGAGCAGCCCCTGGCCTGGACCCCTGCGGACCCCGAGCAGCTCATTCAGAAGAAGTCTAGGCCCGGAGCAGCTCCGCCAAACTAAATTTGGGGAACTAATAAGGCGAGAAAGGAGGCGAAGGCCGCACGGCTCCGGGAGAGGACCCGTCCTGTCAGGACCGGGCACGGCGCTTCTGGGCAGGACCAGGCGGCTGTCGGGCTCTGCCCTGAGGGCACGGCCCATGGTGGGGGTGTCAGGGCACTGACAGCAGCACCTGGCTGCTGGGGCCCTGCCTGGGGCTGCCGTGACCCCACCCCGTCCGCTCCAGCTCGTCAGCACGGCCCCCGGAAGAGCGGGTCGCGGGAGCCCAGGTTGAGGTGGGACGGCCCGGCCGCTGAGTCCGGTTGCCACCAGCCGCCTGGAGTCGCCGGCGCGGCCGCGGGGTACGGGGTGGACCGTCACACGGTCGGGCCTCGCTCCGGGCCTGAGGGAGCGCCTGCGGACGCCGAGTCACGGCACGAGTCCCGGGGTGAGGCCCGCAGGGACAAGCGCACAGCCACCCTGCCACGCCACGCCAAGCCATGCCACGCCACAGGCCACCCCGGCCAACACGCCTGGTCGGGGCGGGGCCTCAGACGTGGACCGCGCTGGATAACGGGTGTCACCTGCCAAACCGAAAGCCTTTGACTCTTTCCCACGGATAGTGCTAAGGAGATCACCGGCGTCCGAGGACACTGCGGTCAGAAACAAAGCTGGGCTCGCACTCGCCCGTGGCGTTGGGGGCCCCGCACCCCGACACGCCCATGAGCAGAGGCGGCCAGGCGTGCGCCAGCAGCATGGAGAAGGGGAGCGGAGCCCCAAGGTGCCCCTGTCCCTGGCTCCAGGACCGCGGCACACCGACGGGCTGCCCACGGCCACCGCTGCAGGCCACGGGCCAGTGGAGAGAATGGCCGAGGCCACGGCCGCCCCTTCAGCCCCACGGACGGCTGGGGCAGCAGTGGGCACCACGCACTGCCGGGACACGCTGACCAGTCCCCGTCACAGCAGCGGGCCGCCCGGGTCCTGCCTGGCTCCGCCTGCCGCAGGGAGGGGGCGGGGCGGTGGGTCCCACGCCCCTGCCTGCTGTCGCCCGCCAGCGTCCGCTAACCTCCTCCTCGAGGGGCTGAGAGCCTGGCCTTGCCCCTGAGCCTCTTACTGGGAGTTTCTGTGTCCAGAGATAAAATCCCCTTGAAGAGGACGGAGCGGGGTGCCCCTCTGCCTCCTGGGCCCAGCAGGGCTCTCCCAGCACCCCCGGCCAGGAATCAGGCGCAAGGCTCAGAAGCTCCCGCGCCTGCCAGGGGCCCCCTGCCCCACGGCCACACCACCCGCCCCCGCCCACCACACGCATCATCGTTGTAAAAGGCTTGGAAAGCTCGTTACCCGGAAATCCCCAAACCCGCGCGCTTCTGCCGCCTCTCCTGCCGGGCTCCCCATAACCAGGGCCCAGGGGCCATTCCCTAGGCGGGGCATGTCCCTGCCACGCGTGCGGGGTGCAGATGACACAGCCCAGAGGGCAGGAGCCCCGAGCCCCACACAGGCAGCGCCCCAGGCGCACAGCCCCTGGCAAGCGCTGCCCCTTCGCAAACAGACCCCGAGGCTCAAGGAAGGAGCCCGCGAGCAGAGGTCACCTTGCTGGGGCTGGCCCGGCATGTGACCAAGAGAAGTTAAGGTGGGCGACCCCCACCTGCAACCCCACGCCCAGAGGGCCAGTGGAGCCTCCCAGACCAGCTGACCCGCCGCCCTCCCTGGCCCTCCCCCCGACGTCCACACACGGTATGACGTCTGCCCCTCGGGCAGCGCTGAGGCTGCAGGCTGTAGTGGCCAGGAGCTGGGCGGACAGACGCTGGGCGCGGCGAGAAGGACTTGCCAGGGACCCTGGGGGCCAGACAGCGTGGGCTGAGCACACCACGACTCGCCCGCCGGGGACCCCGGCGTCTGGCGGCACTGGCGTGCGCGCACACACACAGACGACAGCTGCCAGTTTCCACCTTGGGCATCTTCGTGTGTCCCAGCCCACGCGCTGATGGGCACACCGAGGCGGGGCTTGGCCAGAAGGGCGCGCTGGGGCTGGAGTGCTGTGGAGACGCCAGAGGCGGG